CACCTCTTCTCTTGTCTTCCTGGACCATTCTCTTGCCTTCACCATGTTTGTAACCACACCAGTAAATGTCTAGAAGGAGCTGAGTATCACAGTCATTTTAAAGCTGCCTAATTGGTGCTTATTATGCTTGATTGCTGCTCGGTGACATCCACAGGTGTTTTCAATACCTGATGGAAAGCACCTGTATGAACCTCTGTTCTTCAGAGTGGTAGTCTTTAAGGGGTTGAATAATTGTGGCAATGAAGAAACCACATAAGAACCATTTACTACTGTATTACATAAACAATTGATGTCATTTTAGTTGCATTTGGGTAGTTACAACGTCCTTGTAGGATTTGATTCTGAATACAATTCCAAATGTACACTATAGTCCCTAAAAAACCCTTTACAGCATTGGGGGTTGAATAATTTTGGACACAACTGTATATGTTTGCTGAACACGAACCTCCGGGATAGTGATTAGGAGGTGCAGCACTTCTCAGACATGGGAATCCAAACACAAGCTGAAAGAGGACACACAGGAGGTGCAAACGCCTAGCACATTACCCAAGATTTATTGAAAGAAATCAACAAAAGCCAAATGTATACTCACGAACATCAAAAGTAAAAAGCAAGACACGAGTGACTGATGGTCAACCAATGTTGTGGGTTCCCAAGTGCTGGTAATGTTGGCAAGCCCCATGGGGACATATCCCCTTCCTCAAGCTTCTTCCTCGTGTCCCCAAAAACATGTCAGCTTGCCAGCACTACCAGCAGATGGGAACCTATAACGTTAGTTGACCATCAGTCACACGTGCCATGCTTTTTACTTTTGATGTTTGTGAGTATGCATTTGGCTTTTGTAGATTTCTTTCAATAAATCTTGGGTAATGCGCTAGGCATTTGAGCCCCTGTGTGTCCTCTTTCATTTTTGTTCTTGGGTTTAGATACTGATGACATTCACAAAAAAGAAATTAGGGGGTTGATTTACTAAATCTGGTGCATTCAAAATCTGGTGCAACTGTGCATGGTAGCCAATCAGTGTCTAACTTCAGCTTGTTCAATTAAGCTTTGACAATAAAACCTGGAAGCTGATTGGTTTCTTTGCAGAGCTGCACCAGATTTTCCACTCTCCAGTTTTAGTAAATCAACCCCTAAGTGTCATTGGTTGCTAAGGGCAACACAGACACTTTCTTCTCCTCCAATTTTTATACAAAGAGGTTTAGTAGGTAGGTTTGGGATATTATTCATAGGGGCAGGGCTGCTGATAAGGTGGCACCTTTGGGCCTCCTGTAGGTGGCATGGGCCCTTCCCTTTGACAGGGGGGCCCAGCCAGCCAGCAGCTTCAAGTACATAATGCAGTAGTAACAGGTGTCTGGCGCTGGCCCCTTGCATTGCCACTCACTGCTGTCATTTATAAATATGGAAGCCCAGCTTCTGTGTTTTATATGTGACAGTGATCCTCTCCCAGCGGCACACTCAAATCAGAGGAGGGGGCAGAGCAGAGTTTGCATACAGCTCTAGCCTCATGCCTTCAGTATATCCAGCCAGCGCCGTTAGTGTGACCTCTGAAAGTCTTATCTGTGGGGATAGGAGTGCTGTGTAGTGACAGGGAGAAGAGGAAAGCTCTATACTGGAAGAGGAGGAGAGGGGTAATCTGCACTGGACATGGAGGAGAAAAGAGCTCTGTACTGGGGGAGGGGCAGAAATTTGGGGACAGGAGAAATTCCATTATTCCCTGTGATGCCCATTAACAGCTGTGCAACAAAAGCATGTGTACTCCTAGCCTTAGCCTTCCTTAACACCTGAGTACCTTGTCATTCCATTCCAAAGCACACAAAGCTGAAATGTAAGGCGTTCCTCAACCCTGCACTCTGTACATAGCGCAATCCTCAACCCTGCACTCTGAATGTAACTCACTCCTTAACACTGCACTCTGAATGTAATGCACTCCTGAACCCTGCACACTGAATGTAGCACACTCCTGAGCCCTGCACTCTGAATGTAGCACACTTCTGATCCCTGCACTCTGAATGTAGCACACTTCTGATCCCTGCACTCTGAATGTAGCACACTTCTGATCCCTGCACTCTGAATGTAACGCACTCCTGAACCCTACACTCTGTACATAGTGCAATCCTTAACCCTGCACTCTGTACATAGTGCAATCCTTAACTCTGCACTCTGTACATAGCGCAATCCTCAACCCTGCACTCTGAATGTAACTCACTCCTTAACCCTGCACTCTGAATGTAGCACACTTCTGATCCCTGCACTCTGAATGTAGCACACTCCTGATCTGTGCACTCTGAATGTAGCACACTTCTGATCCCTGCACTCTGAATGTAGCACACTCCTGATCTGTGCACTCTGAATGTAGCACACTCCTGAACCCTGCACTCTGTTCACAGCACACTGATCAAACCCTGCACTGTGTGTGTAATGCACTTCTCAACTCTGCACTCTGTACTTAGAACACCCCTGAACTCTACATTCTGTATGTAGCACACTGGGGGAAGGGGTGCTGTTGATGATGTTGATGTTGAGTGGTACGATAGGGGCATGATAGAGTTCCTGCACCTATTCTCTGAGAAAAAAAGTCATGTAGCCTTAGGCCTCATTTACATTTTTATTTCTAACTTCTCCCCCTTCTACTGCATGCACTTGAAGACAGAGCTGCCTTTAATTTCAAGGCAGGTCAGGGAAGGGTCCAGGGATGTGGTCAAGGGCAGGCCAGGGGTGGAGTCAAGAGTGGGGTTGAAGGGCACTGTCAGATAGGCTGTACGGGGCCCCATTATTTCTAACAGTGCCCCTGCAGTAACACAAAAGTAGCTCATATAGTTCTGAATGTTCTGCGTTGACAATAGAACAGCCAGTGAAAGTGGTTAAGGGTTACATATATAATAAGGTGAATGCACTAAAATGTTCGCATGCTCCAATATTTGTTGTGGGAAATTTTATAAATTATTTTTGTGCTATCTCGCATATATGCAACATCATTTGCCCATATTGCACTTTGCATATTTAGCTATGTACTTGGGATGTAGACTTCTCTTACTACCAAATCTTACAAAAGATTATCCCTGACACTAAGTGAATACCAGTCCCTACAACAGTTGTTGCAAAATACCTTCATTTTAAGGGCCATTACTAAAAATAATGCTTCACACAGTTAAAAGAATAAGTTACCCCAGCATTTCAAATTCCTAAAATGAGCCTGTTGTATCATGTACTTGTCTTAAAAAGTATTCTGTTCTCTTTGTATTGCTTTCTTTGTGTGAAATAGCTGGTGATCCTACTAGTTCCCCTGCTTCCCTATTTCAAATTGATCACACCAGGCACCAAAGTACATCCACCCCAGCTTGGTCAGTTTTATGGCTGTGTTGGGAGAACATCCTGCCTGTCTTCCAATAATCAGAAGTGTGCTGCCCCCCCCTCCCACCTTTCACAGCCACTCACTGAGAAGATCAGTCTACTGCTGTTTCTCCACCCCCACTTCTCTAAACAAATATACTCTGCACTCTGCAAGCGCAGTTGCACTAATTTTCCCCAGATCTTAGTGAATGTGGTGAAGCTCTGTTGATTTTCATCATCCTATCATGTGCAAGCTTGCACCTGATTGGGCATTCTTTGCAAAGTGAAGCTTCACCACCTTCACTAAGATCTGGGCAAAATGAGTACAATTGCACTTGTAAGGTGCAGAGTGCGTTTATTTGCCTTTAGTAAATCCACCCCATAAACTGCTTTTTGCTAACCATGGAAATAATACTAATCCATTCTTTGTTTCTGCATCCTTTCTTCTCTTTTGGCTGATTACCTGTCCCAGAAGTCTGCATGACTCCTGAGGTCAACGTTTAGGTATCCCAGGAATGTCCTATAGCTTACAGCAGGGCAAGCTTTGTCTTTAGTAAGATGGATGCAAAGAGTGCTGCAATGTCTAAGGGTATGCTGGTTTTGTAAAGTACCTTATAACAGCATTGGGATCTTACACAAAATCTCTGCAATTATTCTGAAATATTTCTGCAAACACATTGCCATGACCTCTCAGAATGTATAGAACGATAGGAATCTGCAATTATGTTTTCCTAAAATCTGTGCAATTTTTGATTTTCTCATTATTCTGAGTCAAGTAAAGTAATTATGATGGCAGTTTGTTTTTATTCTGCACAGGCATTAAAATAAAGCAACTCCTAATGAATGTGGTAACAGCAGGAAAAACCATGCCGTATCAGTGTAAATATAATCTTTAATGTGTGAGCTAACAGCAAACTCATATGTTGAAGCTTATGTTTAGATGTCCTCCGACCAGTCACTGGAAATGAGTTGCCCCATCTTATGTGACCCTCCGTATGCCAAGCATGGCCCTGATTACCGTGCATGTCCTTATTACAGCTCATTCTCACTCACCCTTGGCGGAACATGTTTTCACCGCATGTAATTACAGCTTCTAATTATGATCTTAGCAAGGTTCTATTATTTCTCAGCTCTAAGGGAAACTTATCTATATTCCCTCCATTAACCTTGAGGCTGTGGATAAAAGTGAATCTCCATATACGTTTTCTTTTAATGTCCCAGTCACTTACAGTTACTATTAATAAATTACACGGCTTTATTGTCATTCAACATGTACCAAGGAAGGCCTTTAAAAGGATTTTCTATCTTACCTAAATCATATCTATTTGACTCCTCAGCACCTTGACAGTTCAACAATATTAAAGGTATTTTTTTTTGAGAGAGAGAGAGAGAGGACTGGTTGGGAAATGTGTTTAAAAATCATAGTTATCATTGCATTACCTATTATTGGAAGATTTAATATAGTACAGTTCCTCCGGTGATCTCTCCACGCTGATACTCTGCAACAATGAAATCTTTGACAATGGTTTCACTATATTTAATAATTCATTTATAGATAAAGTAGACTCATAATTAAAATTCAGACATGACATGAAGTAAAATATAACAGGCATTTTTTTTTATGGAGTTCAAAGAGATAGAACATTAGTCAGGTATTCATTGATATCAGCAGGGGCGGAGTGACCATTTGGAAACTCGGACACTGCTCAAGGGCCCAGGGTCAGTAGGGGGCCCCATGAGATGCCCCTGGTACCTTTTTCATAGGCTTTTTTGAGTTTGGGCAAGAACACACGGACCCCATGATCCCCTATTGCCCGGGGGCCCCATGAGTTGTCAGTCCGCCACTGGATATCAGTGTCCCTGTTTCTTCATCACTTCCTGTCTTGGTGACAAAAGCAGAAAAAAGAAAAATCTTGCCAACGAGAATACAGACAAAAAACCACAATTAGTGTATAAACATTAAATACAACTGATGAAAAAAACAAAGATAATGGTGAAAAAAACAGTTGGGGTATAGTGGCAGCGCAGGAGGCCTATTTTTGTTTAAAAAAACCTCAACTGCTGTTCTTGGGACACACCAGGAAGTGAAAAGGAATCTCTATAGTATGGAGGCAAACAGCAAAAAAAATCTGACAGAAATTCTAGATTTTTATCATTCTATACAAAATTAAAAAAAAAAGAAAAAAAAAGTTTTGACTGGAGTTTTACTTTAGTAGAGTACATGTCAGGTTTAGCAAAGCTCTTTCTTGCTAGGAATAAATAACTGCTGTTCTCCAGCTTCCTGCCTTGGCAGTATAGGTCACATGGTCTTTGAGTACCAATAAGTAGTGCAGAGCTTACTGTTTTTCTTGTTCAAACATTTTATTATTTCAAAGGCAAGGAAATGCAAGGAAATGCACAAACCATACATATATGTATATATATAAACGGATACAAATGAGAACAGATAGAAATGGTATCCTCTAGAAGGGTGGAAAATACATACAGTATAAGAACGCGTTATGTGGAACCACAAAAAAGCATAAAGACTTATAACGGTATGTTGGCAAATAGGATCCGAATATACATTCAATAGGGAGCTCCGCTCCCTGTAATCAAACGGGGGTTCCATATGAAGCAATACAAACAGGACAGGGGGAAGTAGGGTAGAAGGGAGGAAAGTGAGAGAGTTTATAAAAAAAAAGGGGTGGAAGAAGGGGAGAAAGAGTGTGTGACTTCTAGGGGAGAATAGAGGGAGTCGAGGCCATGTCAGTGCATAGCTCAGCATGTTGGAAGAACAGAGTTGTGGATTGGGGGACGTCAAGGAAGCAGTAATGAGTCGTCAAAGTTCAGTGGGAGGAAATGTTCCACCCACGGGGTCCAGGTTGACAGAAATCTAGGAATGGCATCTAGAATGGTGGCTTCCACTTTAGCATGAATCACAGCCTGTGTAACCTTGTTCCTAACTGCTACAGTACACAAAGACAGAGATTTCCATGATCTGGCTATGATTTGCTTAGCTGCTGTGGTGACTTGCAAGAGGAGTTTAAATTAAGGCTTAGAGATGCTGGGAGGGTGCAAGTTTAGAAGGGCAACAATTGGGTCAGGTAGTATTGACTTTATGAAGAGCTTGGATAACATATGAAAGATTTCAACCCAGAAAGCTTGTGCCACTGGGCAAGTTCACCAGATGTGAAAGTAGGTCCCTACCATTGCACAACCCCGAAAGAATTCAGAGGAATAGTTGGGTGTATATTTAGCAATCCTCGCCGGGACCAGGTACCATCAGGTCAAAACTTTATAGTTAGTCTCTAGGTCTACTATGTTTTGTGAGGAGGACTTGTTTGCAGTCCAGATGCGGTCCCAATCTGCAGGGTCAAATTGATTACCCAGATCCATCTCCCATCTATTGATGTAAGATGGGTGTATGGAGGGCTTAGGGGTGGAGAGGAGGGCATAGATATCACAGATTAGGCCTCGCCTGTGTAGATCCCTATCACCAGAACATTCAAAAAGGGACATCGAGCGAGTCAAACGGGGTAGAGCAGTATGCGGTGCGTAAAAGTTTTGTAACTGGAGGTATCTAAAGATTTCTGATGGTGGTAAAGAGTAAAGATGAGCGAATCGAACATGACGAAGTGGAATTCGTTCCGAAGATTTGGAAAAATTCTATTCGCGACGAATCCGCAAAATTCGCATTAGCAAAATTCGGATGCACGAATCGAATTTTCCCAAAAATGGCGGCGACATGTGTGGCGACGACGGAGAAAATGGACAGAGAAGATGGGGCGGGGATCTCTGGGAAGGCGCGCAGACAAGGCGCGCTGACCCATAATGCATTCATGACATGTGATCGCATTAGCCAATCAGCAGCCAGCCAGCACTGTGTAATGGTGGAGCTATAAATCGCGGCCATCTTAGAATTCTCCATTAGCCTCCGGTCATGCAAGAGAGACAGACCTGTGTGTATTAAGGGACAGAGTTAGGGCCACAGAGACTTTAGGGCCACAGAATCGTTACTCAGGGACACAGAATCGTTACTCAGGGACACAGAATCGTTACTCAGGGACACAGAATCGTTACTTAGGGCCACAGCTATCAAAGAATCGAAAATTTAAAGTGACATACACCCTTTTTTTTTTTGGTGGCTGTCGTGCACAGTTGGTGCTGCAGTTTGCCGATTGTGCAAAATAAACTGACTTTCTGCTTCTCAACCACTATTGTACGTTCAAAGAGTTAAATCCATTTACACGCCGGCTGGCGGTAATATTTTTTGGGTGATTAGTGCATTCCAGTGACACAAACGTACAGTTTCCAGCCAACGGCAAGCTGCAATTGACCGATTGTGTACAATAAACTGACTTTCTGCTTCACAACCACTATTGTACGTTCAAAGAGTTAGATCCATTTACACGCCGGGTGGCGGTAATATTTTTTGGGTGATTACTGCATTCCAGTGACATAAACGTACAGTTTCCAGCCAACGGCAAGCTGCAATTGACCGATTGTGTACAATAAACTGACTTTCTGCTTCACAACCACTATTGTACGTTCAAAGAGTTAAATCCATATACACGCCGGGTGGCGGTAATATTTTTTGGGTGATTAGTGCATTCCAGTGACATAAACGTACAGTTTACAGCCAACGGCAAGCTGCAATTGACCGATTGTGCTAAATAAAAACTTTCTGCTTCACAACCACTATTGTACGTTCAAAGAGTTAAATCCGGTTTTATTTTTGGGGTGCTTATTGAATTAAAGAGTATGTCAGACAACACGCAGAGGAGTGGCAGAGGAGGCAATGTTTCAGGAGCGAGCAGACGTGGCAGAAGAGGAAGGGGTCGAGGCAGCACTAGTCGCAGCCAGAGGCCAGTGCTCCCGGTGTCATCCAGCGGTCGTGTCTCCACCGACAACCCTGCCATCATCGATTGGTTGACTCGGTCATCTTCCTCTTCCCAGGTCACCTCTGACACCTACAGCCAACGGTCGGTGGGTACGTCAGACACAACCGTTAGTGGCATGGCCCGGGAGCAAGCCCACTGAAATCACGTGTCCTCGACCTGCCCCTGTCCTTTGGTGTTCCCTCACCAAGCGAAGTATCGCATGCTGTGGGCTCAGCCCCACTGTACAGTGAGGAAGAGCTAACAGAGGGCGGTCAGGAACGGGGGGAGACATCCGCCTCTTCAGCAGCCAGGCAAAGAAGTACTGGCGAGGAGAGTGGCTCGGTAGCCGGTCTAGAGACAGGTCTGTCTCCTGACCCACACGCAGCCGAGGGGGCTAGTAGTGACGCGGAGACCCTAATTGATGATGATGAGGCTGATCGCACTTGGCAGCCTCGTCGTCATCAGGCTATTGCTTCCGCATCATCAGGAGAAGAGGGTGCCAGCTTGGCAGCGAGCAAAACAGTCGGTGGGTTGCCAAGGAGGCAGCAGGGTCGCAGCAGTGTCAGTGGAGCCAAACGGCCACGGAGTAGAGCACCAGCTCCACTGCAGCCTACCACCACGGCCAGTAGTGGTGCCGGTGTGCACGGAGGAAGTAGCAGTCAGCCAGTGAGGAGTAGCGGGGGCAAAGTTTCCTACAGTGTGGCAATTTTTCGTCAAGCCGCCCGAGGAAGTAAACGTAGCCGTATGTCGACTATGTGGCCAGAAAGTCAAGCGTGGCCAGGGGGCCAATGTTGGGACTACAGCGTTGCGTCAGCATATGCAGCGTCGCCATTCGGTGGCCTGGGAAAACCGTGATAAAGATACGGCGGTTCTGCCCGCCCCAGCCCCCGCTCCATCACCCGCTCCGTTACTTGCTCCGTCACCCGACGTCAATCGCCCTCTATCAGCCAGTCAAGGCTCCAACACCTCTGCTGAGGGGAGTTGTCACTCGTTGGCATCTTCCGCTCGTTCAGATGCTCCTTCTCCTGCTACTCCTCTTCACGGATTCCGTCAGCAGTCTTTCTTGGAATCCGTTTCCAAGAGACAACAGTTTGCGAGCACGCACCCGACGGTGCAGAAGCTGAACGTCCTCCTGTCCAAGTTGCTGGTGCTGCAGTCCCTCCCTTTCCAAGTGGTGGACTCAGCACCTTTCCGAGAAATGATGGCTTGTGCCGAGCCACGGTGGAGAGAGTGCCAAGCCGGCATTTCTTCGCCAAAAAGGCAGTGCCAGCCCTGCATTCACATGTAGAAGAGATGGTGGGCCAGTCTTTGAGCATGTCGGTCTCTGCCAAAGTGCACGGCAGCGCCAACGTGTGGAGCTGTAACTACGGTCAGGGACAGTACATGTCATTTACGGCCCACTGGGTGAACGTGGTGCCGGCACAGCTGCACCAGCAACTTGGACAGGTCATGCCGCTTTTGCCTCCACGTTTGCACGTCCTTGGTCCAGCAAAGATGTCCGCCTCTACCACCTCTTCTTCCGCCGTGTCCTCAGCCGCCACCCCCCCGTGCCAAGTCCCATTACCCGACCGGCATATCACATGTGCAGGGCGCAACGGTGTCACGCTGTGCTGCACCTGGTATGCCTTGGCGAACGTAGTCACACAGGGGAGGAACTTCTGAGTGTAATGAACAGAGAAATCGACAGATGGCTGTCTCCGCGCAAACTGAAAATCGGAACCATGTTGACCGACAACGGAAAGAACATGGTGTCTGCTCTGCGTCAGGAAGGTTGTGCCATGCGCCATGCATGGCTCACGTGTTCATCTGGTTGTCAAGCGGTTCCTAAAATCCACCATCCCACTGCAAGACATCCTTAAAATGTCACGTAAACTTTGCATGCATTTCAGCCATTCCTACACCACAAAGCACACCCTCCTTGAGCTGCAGCGGCAGAACGGAATTCCACAGCATCGCCTGATCTGCGACGTTGCAACAAGGTGGAATTCAACCCTACATATGTTAGACCGCCCTTTACGAACAGC